AGAATCGACTGTCAAAATGTCCATTGGAGGGGGAGAAAGCCATGACCAAACGAGGGCGAGGAACCTATGACTACCGCGTCGAGAAAGAAAGTAACGTAGTTTGTCTCCGATGGATTGATACCAAGGCTGTAATCTTGATGTCCACTTCCACTGGGCCAGAACCAGTGGACCAGGCCCGTCGCTGGGACAAGAAGAAGAAGGATTTCGTACAAGTACCAAGGCCAAACATCGTTCTGGCTTACAATCAGCACATGGGAGGCATCGATCTCATGGATTCGTGTATTGCGCGCTACAAGTATCCGTTGAAATCCCGACGTTGGTACATTTACTTGTTCTGGCACTTTCTGACTGTGTGTGTCGTCAACGCTTGGTTTGTCTACCGTCGCGAACACGAACTGTTGAACAAAGACTCAAAAAAGGCGATGAATCTACGTAATTTCCAGGCAAACATTGCCACTGGGATCATTGAGGTGAACACCACACGGAAGCGAGGCAGACCAAGTGATGCCAGCCCTAAAGCCAAGGCACCAAAGCAAGTACGTCAGCCACCAAACTTGGACTCCAGAAAAGATCAGATTGCTCACTGGCCAGTAAAATATGAAAAAAGGCGTCGCTGTGACCTATGTGTATCACTGAAAACAAACACCTACTGTGAGAAGTGCGAGGTACCACTGTGCTTCAATGAAAATCGGAATTGTTTCAAGGCTTACCACAAAATGTGACAGTGCATGTAGATCCCCCACATCTGGACCCTAAAGAACCCATCCATTTAGTATTTATGCATAAAAGTCAGGATTGCAAAAATCTACAGTCAAATGTGCAGGCGTACACAAGTCAAATGACCCATGAATTATCAGACCAGCCCCCCCCCATCATTGCGTACATACTAAATGTATGGCCCCCAAGACGAAATAGACAGACAGTAAAGGGTTGTAGCTGTTCATATTGGAAAAATATATTATCCAGTATCATCCAAGTCGAAGCGCCAAAGGTTCCCCAAAGACCCAGTGGGTCACATATGACCCCAACCCAAAAAAGTGCACAAGGGTTTAATTTTTTTCAAATGTTGCAATTTTCATGTTCTGTGATGTTAAATAAAATAGTTATGCTAAACAAATATTTTTTTCCATCATTATATCTATTCCTGGGCTCTAGAGGGTGATAACCCAAAATTTTTATTTTTCGTTTTTACTGAAAAAAGTGTTCAAAGTAGCCCCGGTTGACGGTAGTTATCTAATTTTATGAATTCAGAATTTTATTGTAAAAATATCTATTGTATATGATGAATAATTGCCTAAATAAATAAATTCCGCCTAACTTGAAACAATAGGCAGCTACTAACGACTCTTGGCGATGCGGTGTAGCTCGCTGGGAGATTGGACATCAACGCTGCATTTCATATTCAGTACTCAACATAATCCAAGTACATGACATTTTAGTTTTAAATTAAAATGTAAATTTATCAAAGAAAGAAGAAAAAAATAATTGACTTTGATCTTGCTAATATTTATCTATAAAAATGTACCAAATTTGGCAGGTGATTCGATGAATGTTGTAAAGAAAGCAAAACAGAAGACACCCTTTGTAGTGACAAAGCCACAACAATCAGATTTGAAGTGTGTTGAACAACTTGAGAGAAAGTGGTGGTCAATAGTAGTATCAACACAATAACTTCTAGTATGACGTCTGGCATTTGTCAAGAAACATGTCAAAATATTAACATGTGCCACTTGAAATTAAATGTGAAACGTTTAGAGTAGTAGAGAGTTGGACAGCTTTATCTGGAATGGGCTAGAGTTCCCACAGTCATTCATGCTTTGTAGAATGGCTGCAGGATACGCGTGCACTGCGTCTGGCATGCCCACACCCAAGCAGATAGCGTTGCCTTTTATTCCACACCCAATTTATTTTATATAACTAGGTAACATCTCTTGGATTAATTGCGTCGTAGATGGCAGCTTACGAGAGGCAGTCAGACTCATATACAAAAACCATGATGGCCTAAAACTAACGATTGAGTTGGGAGAAGAGCAATATTAACTCCTTGGTGGAACACATGACGAGTATAGTTGTAGCTGACTGTTGCCGAGTAGAGTATTGGTGACGTTGGTTTATAAATATATTGTTATCAAGACACATTAAAGGTGTTTAGTTAGTAAACAGACAGGTAGATGTCACTAGCAGCTCATGCTAGGTTTTCCTGGTATGATTTGAACTCCGTTCGTGCCACTAGTTGTGAAACGGGAAGTGAAAGAAAAACAACAACACGGCCATGCCCAGTTCAACCATGTCAACACGCAAACGACAGTTCCGAGTAGATGAAGCCGTTGATTTATCAATCGCCTAAATCTTTTCTGGAAATCTGGAGTGACGATGGGAGAAGTCCTTCGTAGCGCTGGAATGAAATTGGAGGTGAAAGTGAAACATGCTAAGGCGATAATTGTAACGTTGTGAATACATTCACCTTTCGACTCGCAGTGTCTTTTACCAGATTACGGTGTAGTAGTGGTTGGTGTGTTTTTGTTTATTTTTGTGTGTGAATTCATTCTGACTTTTCTGTTTTTTTAATCATGTCTGTGATTTCCAAGTCCACTGTGTTTGACTTTTTTATTTTTCAGTGATTCAATTCTAAAGTATTTAGGCCACTGGTGTTGTAGTAGTCGTGTCCACTTTACACCAGTTTACGTAATGTGTTACTACGTAGTGTGTAGTGAATAGTTATGACATGTTTGTCAGAGAAAGGAGACACGTGAAAGGACTGACGGCACGTATTGTGAAAAAAACCCAGTTTGGTGGGGTCAGAGATAACAGAGATTTTAAACAGAATAGTTGTGAATATAGTGTAGACAATAATGAGAACAATCTCTGAACTGCTTCAAGGAGAATGCCTGACAAAGGGGAGTACCAAGACAAAGATGGTCGATGATCATTATAGGAGCACTTCAAAGTGGAACAGAAACAGAGTGGCAATCCTCGGCAGACGCAGCGACATGGTGCCAGCAGTTTGTCATGCCCATGTTTGCGATGACAGCCTCTAGGTTCATACCAAGAGAACATATGTACGTTGTTGGGAGGATTTTGAACCTATGTAAGGGCGTAACAAGCGTCTCAGGGTTCCTGTTGAGCTACTTGACCTATTCATGTCCAACCCTGATGTGGAGTCCTACAGCCTTGAGTTGAGTGAACTGAAGAACCAGTTCAGTACGTCCCTAGGACCTCATGACATCATTGAGTATCAGTCCATTTACATGAAGAATATATCTAACATCATGCAGGGCATTTTCCATTATTAGTATTACTCATCACTAGTGCACACAGCAGCCCTCATGACCGACAAGCCAGTCATTGAAGGCCATGTCTCAGTGAAGAACACGTGTGGAGTGTTGTTAACACATCTTCAGTCCTCAGACGACAGTGGCCTACTACTAACAATTGAAGTTGATGAGGAAAAGGCACAATCCGGAAGCCCTGATCATCTCAGCCGACATCAAGCTATGATACTGGGAGAGGCTCTCCTAGTTGGAAGAGAGGCCACAATAAAGTACTGGTATGCCTCAAGCAGTTATGAGAAGAGCACCATAGGGGGACAGATTAGCGTGTTTGAGTTCAACTCAAACTTTTGTAATAGGAACTCTGTAGTAATGCCACTGATCAAGTTCGTGGTCTCCTTTCATCTGTACACCAATCCAATCAGAGTGGAAGACCGAGTCAATCAGGGTACATACCGTTAGTTTGTTTTCCCATTTGACATTGCAAATAGGAAATGGGTTTCTGACCTATTTCCTATTTTTAAAATGAAAATAGAAAATAGGAAATGGGTTTCTGACCTATTTCCTATTTTTAAAATGAAAATAGAAAATAGGAAATGGGTTTCTGATCTGTTAGTTTGTTTTCCCATTTGACGTTGCAAATAGGAAATGGGTTTCTGACCTATTTCCTATTTTTAAGCTGAAAATCGAAAATGAGAAATGGGAAATAGGAAATGGGTTTCGGAACCCGTTTCCTATTTGCGTTCTTAGCCACGCAAATTCACAAAGGCAATGCATTTGGCAAACTCGACGACAGATGGCGCTCGGAGTACAAGCAAGATGGCTGCGCATCGGAATGCAAGTGTTACGAAAGTCTCTTAGTCTTACTTTGAAACGCTCGACTGTACAGCAAAAGCCCGATATCTGGACAAATTGAAAGTTATAAACAATTTGGATCCATATACAGTTACAATCAGTACAATCAGTTTGTTAGTGGATGGGTACGAGACGTCAGAACAACGGTCATCAATGATCAATAACGTTCACCTGGTTGCTAGGGTAAGCTATGTAGTCATTACAGTTATATAACCAGTATTCAGTAAATAGTACTAGTAGCAATTCACAGTGTGTGAGGTAGTACCCCCTACATACAGTGTACTGATAGTAAATATACTACCGGTATTATGTAGTGACTAGTGTAGTGATAGTAAATATACTACATGTACTATATAGTAACTGGATACAATGTGTGTGTGTGTGTGTGTGTGTGTGTGTGTGTGTGTGTGTGTGTGTGTGTGTGTGTGTGTGTGTGTGTGTGTGTGCGTGCGTGCGTGTGTTTGCATGCAGTGTAGATTTTTTTAAATAGCTACCCTCCCCACAATTCTGACAGCACTGCTGCAACTTAAATAATTTAAATTTCTACCAAATAGCTAACATTGTTTATCTATCTGTCATATGTGTTTGTTGGTTAAACTCAGTTTATTTGGTCGGTTACAGGTAATGCATTATCAACGACTGCGAGACTGCGCTAAAACCATGGCTGGTTGCTGAGAAGACGGGGAAAATTGTTTGCGCCCACTGCGACTGCATGGCTGGCCTTGGCGAGGCATGTACACACGTGAGTGCATTACTGTTCTGGACCGAGACAACATCACGGATTCGAGATTCACACACAGTGACACAAGAGGCGGCTTACTGGAAACTACCACCCAGTCTACGAGAAGTAGCATATCTACCTACATGCGAAATTGATTTCACGTCCGCAAAGACAAGGAAGAAAAGGCTGGACTCTCTTGTTTGTGACAATGCTGCTGCAACGCCTGGTAAACGGCAGGTGAAAAAAGTGCCACCTGCAACCTCTGAAGAACTGAAAACATTGTTTGATGACCGAATTACGCTTGGCCGGATCTAAGGCAGCTGTGTTAAGAGTAGTACCAGAGTTATGTACACAGTTTAAGCCGACCTCAGTTTTGGAGACATTTCCTCCCGTGTTGACGAGCCTGTGTGACCCGGACAATTTCACCCTCTGAGACAGTGTATTTGCCCCGGCACGCAACTACATGCGATTCTACAGCCTGCCGGGGACGACAGTGGGTCTCCCGAGGTTTTTTATCTGGGTCCCTGGATGGCATTTCTGTAATGATATGTCGCCATCTGTTTAAGGGGGAGACCTATCAGTCGGTTGAATGCACCCTTTGAGGCATGCTAACTTCCTTGCATGCATGCATGCATGCATGAACGTCATCTTGTACGTTAGCCAGCCGCTGCATCCGCTCCCTCCTCCGTTTCTCTTACTTCCTTTATGTACCTTTTGACTGTTAATCACCCTCTAAGGCATGCTAACTTGCTAGTAACATAGCCTTAAAGTGAACGGGCGGCGTGCAATTACCCGCATCAGTCATTAACCAGGCAACCTTAGCACAAAAGGACCTGTGGGGTTCAAGGTGTTTGCGTGCCTGCGTGTGTGTATGTGT